GCCGCTCCGCAAGGTTCTGGCTAGGTAGGAGCCGGCTGGCTGCTCAGCAGCCCGTCGCCCTGGCAACCCCGGACGCGCGCACAACAGCCAATGAGCTCCGGGAGGGGCGGGGCCTGTGCGGCCCGGGGCGGGCTCTCCTCTTGCCCCGCCCCCAAGGGTCGGCCCGGCTCCCAGCCGCTGGGCGTGGGTCGTGCGGAGGAACCCGGACCCGGGCCTGCAGCGCGGTCCCCGGACCTTGGCAAAGGCCTCTCGAGGGTGCGGTCATGTCCAATCTCCTGTGAGGTCTGGGCAGCAACTCCGGGCCGAGCGACTTCTTTCCACACCAGAGAGCAGGGTGGGCCCTGCCCCAGCCGGCACCTTTCTGCCGAGGCCCCACAGACATCCTGGACCGTGCGGCCTGCACGGGGCCCAGGGCGGGAGGCGCTGCCGACACGACGCCCCTCCTGCCCAGCTTTCTCCCTTCCCTCCCCAACGGAGAAACTGAGGCTCAGAGAGGTTTGCTGAGTCGGTTGACGCTCAGCGGGTAACTCACCCGAGGTCCCCGCTAGGCAGCAGCGGGGATTTGAACTCTGGCAGAGTGGCGACAGGCTCTGGACGCTGAACCCTACCCGGCCAGAAACGACAGAAGAGGCCCGTGTGCGCGCGCGCGCGCGTGCGTGCGTGCGTGTGTTTGTGCATGTGTGCCCCTTTGTGAAGGTCACATGGTCAGGAGAGGTTACAGTCCAGAACCGCAATGAACCGCAATGTGACTGTAAACTGTCTGGAGGCACAGACCTTGGGACAGTACCCTGCCCCTCACTCACCCTGTCGTCCCCACAGGAAGTTTAAGAGTTACCAAAATGGGAGTCAGGCGCCACCGTGGTCAGCACCTATAGTCTCCACTAGTAGGGAAGCTGAGGCAGGAGGATCCCAACCCGGGCAGCATAGTGAGATGCCCCAGGGATGGAGGCAGGGAGAAAACAGGGGCAAACTTTCCATAAAGTGAGCTGTGCAGAGCCTGTGCACACCTGGCTGACACGCACGTACACCCAGCTGTGTCCCATTTCTGTCACTCAGTGTTCCTGAGCTCCTCCACCACCCACCAGCGGTCCTGACCTCCGTTGCCCGGGCTTGGCTTGCCTGCTCTTGCCTCCTGTAAATGACTTTATGCCCCCTCCACTTTCCTGGCTTCTTTTGGCCCAGCCCAATGTGAATTTGCTGGACAAAATCAGGAGGGTGAGAGCTACAGCAGCTCTCAGCAGGCGTGGTGTCTCGAGGTTCCAGGGGACCCAGCTTTGACTCCCATCCTGGGAGAGGCTGGGGTGAGATCTCAGCCAAATGGTGTGGAGCCCCGACTGTAGAGCTGGGTGGACAGGGTCTCCAGGTTGCCCCCTTTCATGTGGGGACACTGGGGGAGCTGGGGAACCCAGCAGCACTGATGCTCAGCATGCAGGCCCCCCCCCCCGTTTCACCCAGGGAACATTTGCCGGGAAGAGGCGCTCAGCCGCCCCCAGCCACACGCTCGGTGCCCCACTTGAGTCCCTCCTCACAGGCCAGGCTGCCAGGGCCGTGCCCTTGCCAAGTCTTTGGCCCGCTCTTGATGGAACCTGTGCCCTCGCCTCCCACTGGGCACTTCTCAGTGGGCAAAGGTAAAATGTGCTGGTGCTCAGGCCCACGCGGGCTGGCAGGGGGGCAACCACCCTGATGAATCACGCTGGCACCGCGGGTGCCCAGCCGCTGCCGAGGCGTCGCTAATGAATTAGCTTCACCCCAGTGCAGGGCCCTCCCTCGCAGCCCACTCAGCAGGAAGCCAGGAACAGCCCCGCCGGGGCAGAGGCAGCTCCAGGGGCCCCTTGGCTGCAAAGATGTCCCATGATGGCCTCCTTGGAGCCACACCACCCTGCCGCTCTCAAATGTTATGGAATTTTTTTTTGCGGGGGGGGGGTACAGAAAAAGCATGGAGCTCTGTGCGATGAGCACCCCGTGCCCAGTCTGCAGCCTCAACGTCACGCATGTTTTGTTGAACTCCATCTAAATCCTCTCCTCATAAATAAAGGAGCACGGCCTGTAGGGGGCTGAGTCCCGACTTCCTGGCCAAGGCCCCCTGTGCCCCCTCCCTGCCCCTGAGCAGAGAACCCAGGCAGGGAGCACTGTCTGGGGTCCTCACAGAGCAGAGACTGGAGCCCACCAGAGTGCCCCCCAAAATCCCAGGCAGAAGAAGAAAAGGTGACTGTCTTGGAGAATGTGGGGTGCCCACCCCACAACAGTGCATGGAGGTAGGGACTTGCTCCAGCGGTGTATAACTGCCCGGGCCTCACCCCTCCTGTGGCAAAGGGGACAAGGGGTCGCACCCTTCTCGACCCAGCTCACTCCCCCCACCGGCACTGGTCAGAATTCTGTCCCTGTGCTTTCTAGTACTCATTCAACAAACCTTAAACGCTTATTCCAGGCTGAGGCACTGAGACAAAAGGCCCCGCTGCTGTGGGCTGGAGATCATCCGCAGAACACAAGGGTAGCTGGGGCTGGAGTGGGGGGGGAGGGAGGAAGAGGGGAGGGGGGATGCTCGGCCATTAAAACCAGAGGATGGGGTGGGTAAGGGTGCAGGGAGGCTGAGGCAGGCTGATATCTGGGGCATGCCTTCCTGGATGAAGGACAGGCAGTGGGTGAGCGGGGCCTGGGCCTCCCACAGCAGCTGGAACCCTGCAGGATCTGGGAGGCGGTGCCACAGATGAGGCCGAGGGGCAGTGAGGGAAGGCAGGTCAGGAGGGCCTGTGTGCCCTGCGAGTGAGGGCTGCACAGCCTGAACCCGTGCCCTGGTGCCTCCAGGAGGAGCGGGCATGGGGTCAGTGCCCCTCCCCCACGTGGTCCTGAGAGCCAGTCCCGCCTGAACACCTGCACCTTTCCTCACAGTGCTGCAGCCTGAGATCCTGCCCACCCCCACCAAGTCAGGGAGAAGTGGCCAAGGTCACGACCACCAAGGCTTGTTCTGACTGGCCTCTCTGTGGGAGGACTCAGGGAGACCATCAGGGACCCCACATCCTGCCCATCCTGACTGCGGCAGAGATTCGTGCTCGCTTGGAGATTGCATGTGTGTGCATGCGTGTGGGTGTGTTACCAGCTAGCACTCACCACTGAGCCACACTGCCACTTCTGTGTGGAGACGCTGATGTTCCCAGAAAGGGCAGAGTGATTAAAGCCTCACGACCTCCCATCCTGGGACCCAGGACTCAATGTGTCTTCCTGGCTGGGGAACAACGCTAGAGACCCCTAAATAGGTTTAAGACACATAGCCAAATGCCCAAGTCCAGGGCTGCTGGGCCTGGTCTGGGCTCGGCCCACTTGGCACCAGGTCCCAGGTGACAGATGGCAGCCCCCACTTTCCACCCCCAGAAATGGAGCCGCGCACTGCCTGGGATCATGTTCCCCTGGAACTAGAGCGCGGAGCTCACCTGGCTGCTCTGTGAAAGCTGAGTCCCCCCAGCCCTCTGGAGACACCTGAGCTGGGGGCACAGCAGCCAGAGAGTGCGGCGGGGCAGGGCCGCTTGTGCCAGTGCAGACTCCGTGCTGTGGCCAGAGCCTGGTCATCCGGCGGGCTCTGGAGGGCGTGGTGGCGAGCACGGCTCCACCTGCTGGGGCCTCCACCCGAGCGAGCGAGCGAGCGAGCGAGCGAGCGCAGTGCCAGGCCCTGGGGACGGACCTCCAGGCACCCCCCACGCTCCGCTCCCGCGTCGGGCTGCCGCGGGCGACGGCTTCATCTTCCACAGCCTCTAGTCTGCAAAACCACCTTCCCAGGCTGGAGGTAGCACCTGAGGGAGACCTGGGCCAGTGAGGGGGACAAAAGAAGACTAGTGCTCATCAGCGTCCCTCAGCGTGGTCCTTCATGCCACAGTAAGGACTAACACGAAGGAACCCGCGCCCCAGCCACTGCGCCACGACACTAAGGGAAGGAGGGAAGGTTCGAGGTGTTGCGCCGGGCCACTTGTTACAGACTCGCCTCAGCTGCCTGCCTGATGCACCCCCGGCCCTCGCACAGGCCTGCCCCTGCTGGAGGCCCGGATGCCTCCCTGGGGTCTCCTCAGAGCTCTTCCCCAGGGGGAGCTTCCCAGAGTCTTCAGAGCATGCCAAGCCAACAGCACAGCTTCTTGGGTGCCCACCTCTCGCCTTCAAAGGTCTCCAACTCTTATAAATTCTGAACTGTGAGTTATTTAGGATGTGAGCTCCAAGTTAGGAACTTGCATGTCCCCTGGGGCTGTCCTGTCCTGCAGGGATTATCGCTGGCCACTTGGACTGTCCCCATCTCAGTTCTCCAGTTTTTACCCAGGGAAGAATAAAGCTGGGGGGGGGACCTCCATATTTGTGATTAAGAAAACCCAATGCCATGTTTTTAAAAATTCAGAACAAATGCTAAAAAATCACAATGAACAAAATATTAAAACTTGAAATAAAGATTAGATCGTATGGGTGCTCTGCCACGCCATTACTAGATTGGGCCGCGCACGGAAAATGCTGTAACCTCATCCTGTCTCTGTTTAGAATGCGAATGTTTTGTTCATCATGGAGTTTGGGTCAGCCTATGGCTCAGTGGGAGAGTCCTTGCCCACCCAGCAGGGACTGGACCCTGGGTTCAGACAGAAAAGACCGCGTGGCCCTATTAGTTACCTCGACGATAGGCTTGGGGCTTTTCTCTAAATGCCGTGCCCAGGATGAGCTCCTGCTCCCCTTGCGCAGAGCTGTCCTGTCCTGCAGGGATTATCGCTAGGTGAGGGAGCCTAGGGAGGAAACAAATGCATTCCCACTCAGGCTTTAGCTACGGGTCCCATCTCCTCATAGCAATTCCGCCCCATTCAGATGCTAAGCTGTTTCCTCTGTTTGCTGCTTTCCAAAGGAAAATGAGAACAAAGAGTCAAATCCTTGGCTCTAAGCTGCAAAGAGGCTTTGAAACCCAGAGCTGAGACTGTACCTTATAAGAGCAGGGTGCTGAGAAGTCCTTTTTGTAGGTCCAAAAGCCTGGCTTTGAACTTGAAGAGCAGACAGCTGCTGCCATGAGGCCTGAGAGGGGAGGTGTGCACCATCACTGAAGTGAGAGCCCAGGAGGAGACTCAGGCTCAGAGCCACACCTGACCTGGTACTGGGCCAGGGCCAGGGCCAGGGCCAGGGTGGGGCACGGAGCAGCTTGCTCCACCTGTCCTCCCCGGAGGGTGGGGCCCAACCACCACACAGGCCTGGGGAGGTGGCAGTGGAGGGGTCGGCCCAACTCCAGGGAGGTGTGGGTGGAGGAGGCTGCTGGGCCTGAGGGGTTGCAGGGTCCAGGGGACACAGCTGCTGGCTGGCTGTCGGACCTCAGCCAGCAGAGGTCTGGGGCCACAGTCCCCATGGCAGGGGCAAGGAGCATGGTATGGTCACCCCAGGCCCACAGATTCCCCAGAAGCAGCTCTGGAGGATGCAAGCCTCCTGGGAAAAGGAAGAAAAAGGTCTTTGTGGACCAATCTTAGTTTAAAGGAGACTCAATTGCCCTGGAGTCTAGTTATTGACAAGCCAGTGTTTCACTCACCTTCTGCGTTGTTGAGACCAAAATACTGAACATCTACAACTTAGAAAAGGACAGGTTTAGCACTGCATGGTGCACTGGCCCCACCCCCAGGCACGCTGAGCTGGGATTGGAGTCTGGGGATGGTACTGCACGTCTGTAATCCCAGCACCAGGGAGGCAGAAATCAGGAGGATCACTATGAGTCTGAGCTGCATAGTGAGACCCTGAACACACACACACACACACACAAAAGGACAGGCTTATTTTGACTCACAGTGTATAACGGGCTCGCTCCAAGGCATCTAGATCTAAACCCTAACGCATCACCCGACTCCTAAGACTTGTGTGCATCTCTTTATGTGAACTTCATTTAGAAGTTTGGAGAGTCTCCAAAGTCTTAAAGCCCCAGCTGGTGGACCTGGGAGATACAGCTTAAACGTCTGCCTGGCAAACACAAGATCCCGAGTCTGACATCCAGGAGCACAAAAAAAGCCCCAGTTGCTGAAAAGTGCAAGTCCAAAGTCTTCTCTGAGACTCAAACTCCTAGCTGTAAAAACAAAAAAGGTTAAACACTTTCAACACACAATGACAAAGAGTAAACACTCCCAGCTCAAGTGGGAGCAGCGGGAGGGTAGACAGGAAAGGGGCTAAAGCAAGATCAAAGCCCAGTGGGGCAAACACTGGGCACTGCAGCGCCAGGTCCAACTTCCAGGGCAAAGATGTGAACTCCAAAGCGCTTGGGCAGCCCCACCGCGACAGCCCTGCAAGGTGCAGCTCTCGTGGCCCTCCCTGGCTGGCTCTGCTCACCGCCTACAGCTTGCCTCAGTGGACAATGCACATTACTGGCTTCTCCACCTTCCTGGCATCTGCATTTCACTTTTGGCTTCAGCTTCACAGCTTCATACACGGCCCTCTCGTGCACATACTGCCGGCCTCCCAGGCCATCTTCTGAAATCTGGGTGGAAGCTTTCCTCAGCCTACAACTTTTGCATTCTGCACATCTGTAAAATAAGTACCATGCGGAGAACCCCAAGGACTCCTGCTAGCTCAAGCAACAGGTGGGCCCCCTTGAGTCATGGCTGTGGGAGTCTCCGAGTGCCTGGATGGCTGAGCACTGTGAAACAAATTCCTACAAATCAATTCCCTAGCTGGCTTTTTTCAGATGGGGTAGCCTGCAGCTTTCCTTTGAAAGGAAAATCCTTCACTTTTAAACCCTCGAGGTTGTGGAGAGGGGTTTTGCTCTTCTTGTGATACTGGCATCTGACTGACTCCATGCAAAATACCTGGCTTCTTTTTAATACCCATCTTTTAGTAACCAAGCCCTCCTCAGCCAAAATTTTACAGGCTCCAACTTTACAGGAGCTTCCTTTCTATAGAAACTCGAAACTTTTCCAGTGGGCTTTTTGCTCCTGTTTCTCAGCGTAAATCTCACTAAATGTAGCAAGCAGTAATTATGCTGCAGCCTGAACATTGGGCTACCTTGACACTTTCCACTGCCCTTAATTTCATTCGCCCACAAAGTGTCAGGACATAAGCAAAATGTACACAAAATTTCTGCCAAAGCACGACACACAAGGCCTGCAGCCCATCCCCGGGGGAGTCTGAGATTAGTCTTTATGACTGGCTGTTGGCCTATTTTTCTGGCCTCCAACCAGACTCAAGCTCAGCTCACAGCACTGGAGGGCCACTTCTCTAACAAGCATCTCCAAATTGTAAACTCCTCCCACAAACCAGTTCCAAAGGCTTCCAAACCACATGGCCAGGTAATCACAGCCTCATCTCTGTATGAAAATGTGCCTTTGTCACTTCTCATTGCGTGGACCCAGTAGCCAGCGCCCACAATTTAGAGATTTGTTTCGGCTGCTCTAGAAGTTCCAGTGCATGTTCTGCAGGCTGAAGTATAAGCACTAAAAGGGAGGTCCGGGGGAGGGCAGCTGCGCATAGTGCAGTGTCCTGGAAGCAGAGTGGGCAGGAGAGCGGGGGGGGGGGGCGCTGGGGCACCCTGCCAGCACCCCGGCTCTCCCAGGAGGCTAGGGTTCACCTCCTAACGGCAAGTCAGCTCCGAGCCTGTGGTCCACCCTTACTCCACACACCCTGCCTGTGAGCACAGCAGGCCTTAGCAGGCATCCAGGAACATTTCTGAGGACCTGAGTGTGTCCTGTGGTACCCAGCCTGCCTCCTTAGGGCATCTTCCCCATGGCCCCAGAGGCCTCTAGGACTGGCCCACACAGGGCCCACAGAAACCTGCACAAATGCCCCTCCCATTCTCGGGGACTGTATCCCCATGGCCAGGCCAGGGGGACCTTCTTGCACAGGCCAGCCACGGGCCCGTGGGTGGAACTGGCCACAGCAGCACTCTCTTTCCAGGCCCCCCAGCTGCTGCAGTCTGAGCTCAGAGCTGCCATTTGCTGCTCTCCTGGATTCTGCACTGGAAGTGAGGGGTGCAGTGCAGTGTGGACCAGCAGGGGTGACAAGTGGGGCTGCAGGGCCACAGGCCACGGCCAGGCCCGGGCCAGCAAGGGCGCCAGGTGGGGCAGCTCCCATGCTACCAGGTCCTTTGTGCAGACGTGCCCTCCCAGGGCATCAGCTGGAGCTAACTTCTGTTGCTTACAAGGTCTGGCCCTGAGGGAGTCAGCGTGCCCTCTGCCCTACCCACGCTTGCTCTGTGAGCCAAGGGCGCCCCCTTGGCCTGTGCCACCCTGCTGGGTGCCAGCGCTGCCGGGCAAGCACAGCAGGGCCGGGCGAGGCTGTCTCCCATGGGGTGACGGCACGCATCAGCCAGTGGCGCACAGCCTGCTCCTCGCCACACCCCATCAAGGTCTTCCCTGGGGCCCCTGCACAGGCGCCCACATTGGCACTCACACTCACGCTCCCAGGCTCACAACTCCTTAGGCAAAAGCACAGAAGCGCATGTTACCCCTGGGTGCAAGTGCAGACCCAGCCCCCCAGAGAGGGGCCAGGTGGGGAGGCTGGGGGCTCACGAGTGCCTTGGGAGGGGGCGGCTGTCCCGCCACCTCCGCAGGGGCTGGGGTCCCTGCAGGCCCAGCAGGGTCAGGCTGGGCGTGCAGTCCCGGGCCCAGTGCCTCCACCCTGGATGTTTGCTCATGCGGGGCACAGTGCCCGGGGAACGGGCGTCTCCCCAGATGGCCAGCGAGCACCCAGAGGAGTGACTGGTGTCATGTGCCCATCTGTCTGCTCTGTGCCTGGTGTCCTCAGATACAGTCTTCTCAACACCCACAGCCATTCCAAGGACAGACGCAGTGAGCACCGTCCCTGCCAGAGGGAACTGTGCCTGGCCGGCAGCTGTCGGGCTAGAACTGGTGGCTCTGGGTTGGCGAGTGATCCAAGCCCCATGGCACCATCAGCATCCCTGCCTCCACATGTCAGAGGTGAGACTGACCCTGCAGCTCCCTGAAGGCACGTTTTGCTAAGCTCCCAACCCTGACCGCTGGTGTGCCTAGCTCCCCTGAAGGCCCTCTGAGGCCTGACTGAATGGCCTCAGTGCTGGGCAGGAACGAGGCTCAGGGAGTCAGTCGGCATGACTGAACCCTAGAAAGTCTGGAATATCAGCTTCAATTCAATTAGAGGGGACTTGGAGGGCTGCCTATGGGAGGAAATGGCTGCTGCCACCCAGGGTCCAGCTGGCGGTGACTGCAGGGACTGTCATCCACGGGGACCATGGGGGCCGCTTCCAAGCTGTGAAGCAGTGGGCCAGGCTTGGTCTCCAGCACGGCTTTGGCCAGCCTGCTCCTGGCCTGGCCTCCGCACCGTGTCGGAGCCACCCCGCCCTGGGCCCAAGTGCTCTGCAGCCACCACCCTACCTCTCTGGGAGGCTGCGGAAGCACGGAGCAGCTAAGTGGCTGTGCAGTTGGTGACAAAACCTCTTTGGGTGGATGGCTGAGCGGAGTCCCGGCTGGGGACAGCCATGCTCTGCACCTGCCCAGGTGGAGGAGCTGAGAGCCCCGGCAAGGCCACATGTCTGGGGCAAAGAGTAGGTACCACCACAAACAGCCACATACCCAGCATCACTGCCAGCTCTGAGGGGCTCATTGCCAAGGTTTCACGGCCACCTGGGACATTTCCACAACACCCTGCACACAGCAGCCCCTTCCACTGGGAGCCACAGGCAGTGTCCTCTGGACCTGGGCCCACAGAGGACACCACAGAGTCTACCCTGGCCTTGGGTGACGCCTTCAAGTCACCTTGTGGAGGCCCCCACGGGCGAGTGGGGCAAAGGGCCCCCGTGCCACAGGCATGGGCATGGCCTAGAGGGCTGAGCCTGGCTGCCAGCACCCAGGGGCAGAAGTGCGGGGCCCGTGGGTGGCATCGCTCATCCACCCTTCCCCCACCCATCACGTGTCACCATGTGCTTTGCAAGTGTGCACAGGGTAGGCCCTGTCCTGGTCACCATAGAACTGGCGTGTCCCTGCCCACACTTGGCCATCTACCTCCAGTGCCCATCATCCAAGGCCCCCCACCCCCAGGCCTGCAGTGGTCCCCAAGCACTTGGGCATTCACTCATACCCACTGCTATCAGCAGCAGCCCTGCCAGCCAGTCTTGTCCCCAGTCCCTCTTCGGTCCTTCCCGTCTGTCCTCAACCTGGGCCACCCATGACCTGCAGCCCCAGGGTGCGCTGGGCTGGAAGCTTGGGGGTGCTGCCGTCTCTGGGCTTCCGCTTGGGCACTGGAGCCACAGTGATGGAAACTGCCTGGGCGGGAAGTGGGGGCAGGTAAGAGGAGCGGGTGAGATCAGGCCTGAAACCCGAGCCACTGGGGCCAGCTCGGGAGGTGGTAGAGGGCTCGGGCTTGAGCGGTGTGTGCACGCATGCACACGCATGTTCTTATGTCTGCATGCACAGTGGGTTTCCATGTGAGTGTGCGCGTGTGCTTGTTAGTGTGCTAGTGTGCACAGGTGTCCGCATGAGGCTGCATCAAGCAGCTGTGCCCGAGAGCTCTCTGTGCCATCTGCGGGTGTCCAGGCGCCGTGTGTTCAGGGCTCTGGGTCACGGCCACACGTGCCCGTCTGCACTTCGTGTCCTCAGGCAGCAGGCCAGGAACGCGGCACCCCCCACCCCACCCCCAGCTGGCCCTGAACAGGCGGCATCTTCAGCTCCCTCCTTCGTTGCCCACACCATCTGGTGCCACCAACGGCCCACGTGGAGCCCGCTGCTGGGACGTCCTCAGGCTGGCAGAGCTGCTCCACACGGTGGGCCAGTGCATGAGGGGTGGCATGGCGGCTGGTGCCAAGCCTGTCCCGGACATGCCAGGCCTAGTACCCTCACTGCCCTGTGGAGCCGGCTCCTGGTGTGTACAACCAGGGACAGCCGCTCTGCTGCGCCCTGCACAGGAGCGCCTGGTGGAGCGGGGAAAGGTGCCGAGTGCCACTGGGCGCGCAGAGCCCAGCCGCAGCGCAGAGGCGGCTGGCAGACGCTAAACCGCAAGCGTCCATGCGGAGCAGACACCCTGGGCAGTGCACTCCGGTTCTCCTAGAGGGCTGCCCTGCCTCTGCTCTTGCTGGCCTGCACCATGTCAGACTGTCGAGCCTCATGGCCTCTCTGGGACAGGCAGCCACACATCCCTCATCCCACCACAAGACTCAGAGGGCGCAGTGGTCCTGCCTTGACACCGGGCATGCTGTTCTGGGGAGTGAGGCTGTGCAGAGGGTGGGGAGACCCTCCTGCCTCTGCCTCCCTGGGTGGTGCCACCCCCGCTCCTAGCCAGCACAGGAGCCCGAGCACAGGATGACTGTCCCAGAGTCAAGGTCTGGGCTGGAATCTGGCCTGGCTCACACCCCACACCCCGCCGGCGCCCTGAGCACCCCAACCTCCAGTGTCTAGGACTCGAAGCTGTGCTCTGCTTGCTCTTTATTCCTGGGCCTGTGAACTGGGCTTGGTCCTGCGGGGCTGGTGAGGAGGAGGGGGAGGGCGGGTCAGGCCTGGGCTCTCCCATGCTGCCCCAGAAGCCGACACCCTGTGGGCCCCAGCAGGGAGGCAGCACTGAGCATGTGGCCACCCCACCCTGCTGGGGCCTCCTCACCTGGGCGCAGCCTCAGAGGGGTGCGGGTCAGCGGCAGCCCCAGGATGGCACCTGCATAGAGTCTGTGGGGGTCGGGGCTCTGCAGAGAGAGGGGCATGGAGTGCGGCACCCAGCTCAAGGCCCACTCTCCATCCCAGCCTTTGGGTTTCACCTCCATAGCCCCCATCCCCAGGGGCCACTGTGCCCATCGGGCAGCATGGCACTACCTTCCCTGGTGGGGGTGCGGGCACCAGAGGCTCCTTGGGGTGCCAGAGCCCAGCTCCAAGCTCGAGGGGCCCTGGTTGAGGGCGTAGCCACTGGGCTTCAAGGGCTGGACGCCTCCCCGGGTCCAGCCTTCCCGATCCAGCCCCTTGGGGAGATTCTCGAAGAACCTAGGGCAGAGGGGTCACCGGCCTCTGTCACATACCTGGGGGACATGCCATCCCCTCCCTGTCCTGGCCACCCTGGGACCCTGATGCTGAGGCACCACTGGGAGGGAAGGGAGGGTTTCTGCAGTGTCCCCACCCCATGCCCTCCACCTCTGCTCTCCACAAAGCTCACTGTGCCAGGCAGGGGAAGGGACGCAGACGTGGGGCCCAGGATAGTGCAGAAAGAATGATGTGGACAGACACAGGCAGGGACTGAGGTTGCCAGCCTGGGACAAGGGTGCCCACACAGGGGACTGACGGGCAAGGGGCGGCGTCCCCGGTCCCCAGTCTCTGGCCTTAGCCCCAGTCTGTAGCAGGGCTCAGTGTGGCCAGACTGCAGGCTCCTCCCAGCCAGGCTCTATGGCGGTGCCTGGCACACCAAGTGCGATGTGGATGGGGTGGTGGGCAGGGCAGGGTGGGCAGGGCTGGGGGCACCTGGGTGTCCTGAGGTGTGGCCAGGGGGAGCCGGGGACTCTTGGGGCACTGTGACCTTTCTGTTCTCCTGTGATGCCTGCCTACAGGCCCTCACAGGAGCTTCCCTGGCTCTGGGGCCACCTCCTCCAGGACCCCCCAACACCCATGCTCACCTGGGCAGCCTCCTACCTTCCTGCCACACCCTGTGGTAGTGTCCTTGCAGGTGCAAGTTACTAGAGACAGCCCTGAACCTCTACTGTCCCACCCACCAGCCTGGACACCAGGCTGTCCCTGCACTGCTCTGTGTCACTGGGGGCCCCCAGAGCCCTCCTCTCAGGCTGGGTGATGCTGGGATTAGTTCTGCTTTCCAGAGCTGGTGGCCCCTGTGCCTGTAACCCAAGGAGCCCCCAGCCCATGGCTGAGGACAAGGAGTCTCACCCCTGGCTGTAGGAGGTCAGGTACCGACTGTCTTGGGCAGGGTCTTGAAGGCTGCAGACGTAGCTAGTATTGTTAAGGCTAAAGCCTGTGGGTTCCTGGGACAGGGACAGGGATGGCAGGTGGCGTGGGAGATAGCAGGTCAGGCGGCAAGGGTGGGTAGGGCAGGTCAGGAGATGGGGGGACAGGGAAGGTCAGGCAGCATGGAGGGATGGGAGGTCAGGTGGCATGGGGCGTGAGCCCAGCAAGGAGAGGGGGACTCACTTTGGCCCCCATAGCCTGGTGGCCCAGCAGGGCAACATTGGTCTGCTGTACTGGCCGAGGTGGCCGGAAGTGCTCACGGGTTGTGCTGCTGGGGAGAGCACTTGGAGAGGACAGCTGCCGGGGCCAGCGCACTCTGGGGCCCTGGGCACGGAGGGCAGGTCCTCAGATTCAGGGCAGGAGCTCCGCCCCTCCCTGCCTCCACGCAAGAGTCCCAGTTCTGCATGGAAGCCCCCGGGAGGGCCTGCCACTTACCCTGAGCTTCATCGTTCTCTCATGCATGCGGCTGTAGCCAGTCTCCCGCTCGGAGCCTTGGGCCAACACAGGCAGGAACTCACTCCCCTGGAGACACAGGGTGGCCGTGGGTGCCAGGGCACCGTGGTCACCACCCCAGGCCCACCAGCCCTGGTTCTCCAGAGCAGCAGCCCACACCTGCGGGTTGGTCATGGGGAGGAAGTCTGCCTTGGTGACACTGCTCCCTGGGAGGAAGGCCTGCAAAGGGGCAGGGAGGGCTTCAGGCTGGCCCCGCGGCCCTCCCCGTTATCCCAGCATTATGGGAGGCTAAGGCAGGAGGATCGCATGTCCAAGTCTGGCCTGAGCAACTTAGCAACAACCTACAGGGACCCTGTCTCAAAATAAAACATAGGAAAAGGGCTGGCAGTGCAGGTCCATGTGAAGACCCTGGGTTCAATCCCCAGTTCTGGAAAAAACAAAAAAGCCAGCTGGGCCCATTGGGGCAACTGGGGAGAGGAGGCAGGGGGAGGAGGAGGAACTGGAAGGCCCGGCCTTGCGCCTGTCTCCTTCTCCCTGACACAGGTCATTGGGCTGGAGCAGCAACACCCCCAGCCCTTTCTGAGCTGAGCTCTGCTGCTGGCCAGGTCAAGCCCTGGGGACCCAAGGGCCTGGGTTTCAATTGCCCTAAGCCCACAGTGAGGCCCGGACTCACGGGGTCCCCTGGTAGGGCCTGGCAGGCCGGCTGGAGGTCCAGGGGGCCTCTGGCTGAGCCCTCGGTGAAACCTGTCCTCTCCTTGGCACCGACAGACTTCTTCTGCAGCAGATCTGGGGACAGGATTCCAGTGTCCCTGTTGCTGTCTCACCTGTGCAGGACTGGCACCTGCCTGGTAGTCTGTTGGGGTGCCCAGGTGGTTGCATACCTTGCTGGGCAGGCGGCTCCTCAAGATACTTGGAATTGTACTCAGATGTCATGGAGCATGGACCCTGGAACACAGCAATGAGGGGGACCCGAGACCAGGACTCACAAACCACCTGGGCTCCAGACATCCACTCAGGAGCCCAGGACGGGGGCGCGTGGCAGGGGAAGAGGGCAGGGGTGCACAGGCCCTGCCAGCAGGCCGGGGACCCTTGGCAGACCGTGCACTCCCATAGCGTGCAGTCTCCCACCCCGGAGAGCCCTTGTGCTGCAGCTGGAGGAGCAGGGGCGTGGCCTTGGCCTCGAGCCCCACGACACCCTGCGGCCCATGCTCCTGGGTGTCCAAGTGCACCTTCTTGACCTGGGCAGGGGCAGGGAGCGGTGGCCACGGTGGCTTCCTGCTCCCCCAGGGACCTCGGCTCCTGTGCCACTCACTCTACCCTGGACCCTCCTGACCACTGGGACCTGAGGGGGCCAGGAGACACCGCCTTCTGGACTTTGTCCTGGGCACCTGGCCCTTTCACCTCTACATTGCCCCTCGTCTCCTGTCCTTTTCCTCCCCTGCTCCTGTCACCCCTGAAAGTGAAAGCACTGTGCACTGTGGGCCCTGGGCACCATCTCCAATGCAAAAGAAAGAAATGTCAGCATTGACTGGCTGGGTGAAAGAGCGGGAGTCCTTCATGGTGACCTCTGTGGTGACAAGATGGTAACAGTGATCGCAGAGACAAAGGCAGCGATGAGGAGGGGCTTGTGGCAGCCAGCCGGTGCCAGGTATGGGTGGGGCATGGCGGAGGGAGGGAAAGTAGAGGGAGGCGACAGCAGCAAAGGGACGGAGGTGGGGACTGGGGACAGACACGTGCTCACCTCCTTGGCGAAGGGCTCCAGGCCTGACTTCTCCCGGCCATAGCCTGAGCAGGTCTGGTACATGTTCCAGGGCAGGGCATCCCGGCCATCAGGCCCCTCCAAGGGCCTGTAGCTCTCGCTGGTCACTGACTGGAAGGTGTCCCGGACTTGTTCCCTGGGGGGCATAAGCAGTAGCAGCTGGGACAAGACCCTGTGTGCTTCGGGGTACCATGGCCTCCCTAGCCTCTCCCAACATGCTAGGAGCCCCCATCCACCAAGCCTGAGTTGGTCCCTGGGGTGGGGGCCGGCGGTCAAGGATACCACAAGACTGTACCCCATGCCTGGGTTGTTCAGGGCATCCAGGCTGGGCTGGTATGAGATGAAGGGCCGCAGGTTGGACTTATAGCCAGTGCCCACGTGGCTGCCCATGTGGGGCTTGAACTTCTCTCGGCCTGCCAGGGGACATGGGATGCCAGGACAGGCTCGGTGAGGAGAGTGGACTCCAGGTAGGACTGCCGCCCCTGGGCCTGGTTGTCAGAGCCAGAGTAACAGGACTGTGACCACAGGAGTTGGGCCCATGGGCTGGGTACAGGGTCTTGGAGCAGAATCACAGTGATAGCAGGGTTGGGCAGACAGGACCAGCAGGCAGCGTGGGTCCCGGAGGGGCTGCCATGGGGTGACTGCAGGCCCGCTGCCCTAGGCCCTCACCGTAGGCTGTGCAGTAGCTGGTGGCATAGAAGTTGAGGGGGTCTGTGCAGCCCCCTGAACTCATCTTGACGTAAGGGGAGGTCGTCCCGAGGGGGAGCTTCCCCATCATGACGCCAGGTGGCAGGCCAGGCCTGGGGAGGGGCACAGGGAGTCAGACACCCAACAGCCCCGCTCTCCTGCCTCCAGGCCTGGGTGGCCACCAGCTCCAGTGTCTCTGGCATCTTCCCCCATATCCTTAACTCTTCATACCGCACGTGCGTGGGACGCAGGTCCAAGTGAAGAAGACATGCTCCCAGTGCTGCAGCAGGGCTGGGCCAGGGAATGTGCAAACGCTGGGACACTGTGGGCCCTCTCGCCCCACCTCTCCTCCCTTCTCCACCCATCCCTCTCACCTGCTCTCTCTGAGGTCCACAGAGGCCACGGGAGGCAGGCACTGCTAGGAGAAGCGGAGCCGACCAGCCCTGAGGCAGCCGGGAGGAGTAACAGACGTTGCCTAGCAACAGATACCCAGCAACCGCAGACCCGCCAGAAATCCTGCTGGGGCCAGGGCCTCGAAGGAGCTGACCTACCAGGAGGAGAGCCGCTGTCTTGAGTGACAGGAAGTAAAAGATATCCTCGGACTTGCTGCACTGAGGGCCCACCTCTCGCCAGACACATCCTTCCTCCCTACCAGGCAGGGACAGAGGCTCGGGCTGGCCGGCAGCCTCAGTCCAGCATGCGGGCCTTGGCCTCCACTGCCACCTCTCTAGGGACTCACAGGTCCTGGGTTCTGCTGGGGCTCAGGCACCCTGGTGCCACCCCCACACTGTCATAGGGCCACCAAGACACAGACCTCAGCAAGGCCACATCCAAATGTACCTGCCAACCTCGGGAGGGGCTGATGATTTTGTCCACGCCCCTGCCTCCCTGTCATCACCTGCCTCCTGCTGCTGGCAGATGTGGTATGCAGATCCACACCTGGAGAGGTGGACAAAGGTGAGGACGGCAGCCACCGAGGCCACGATGCAGAGGAAGTGCTGAGCCTGCTCCACGTGGCACGGGGGATGGGGACAAGGACAGCTGTCTGGACTTGGAGGTGGCCAGTGCAGGAAATCCGCAGAGCCGGGAGGCCTGTCATATCCCTGTGAGGGCCCCGCCAGGGCTTGGGGCCATGGGGACACAGGAGGAATGCGTGGAGCAGTCCTCATCCAGCTGACAGAGAGAAGGGAGACAGCATTCACACTGTGTGCCATTAGCCCACCCTGAGGCCGTGTGGGACGGGCCCTGGCCCTGCCCTGAACCTCCACGACAGTGTGTGCTACTTGGATCCCCACGGACCTGGTCTGAAGGACCCCAGTGCACGCACAGCAGTGTGGCAGAGTGATGGGCTGGACCCCAGTGGGCAGTGATGGGCGCCCAAGCCAGCCACCTGCTCCAGCTGCCGGCTTAGGGCGCCACCTCCACGCCACTCTGTCCAACACAGGAAGAAATCCCAGGCCGGCCAACAGGGTCTCAGCGCGGGACTGCATCATGGGCCTGCCAAGGGGGTGGCCATAGGATGCAGCACCATGTAGGCTGTGGCTGGGCTCCGCAGCAGTCAGAGGGGGGCAGAGAGAGGGCTCCAGGTGTGCCTCCGCAGCTGGGCTTGGGAGCTGGCCGAGTGCGATTCTTGGCTGTGGGACGCCACCCAGTGGCATAACTGGGAACGGCAATGCTGCCGCTGCAGCAGCCTTAACGGGGGGGCCCGTGTAGAAGTTATCCCGGATCCCCCAGCAGCGAGCCCCTCGGGCCCCTTCCACCCTTCTGCTGCTGTACAGCATGGCGGGAAGCCAAGCATCCTTGGGAGCAGAGCCCGGCTGCCTCGATGCGGGCCCAGCAGGCACCCCAGCTGCAGTGTGGCTTTGACTCCATCCTGCGGCCCACCTGAAGGGCCCCACTCTCGCAGCGGGTCGAAGGTGGCCATTGGGCACCTAAGACAGCTGGGCCTAAGGCTCCAGCATGCAGCGCCCCCGCCATGTAAAGTGCTCCTTGTGCCCAGCTCTCAAGGTGGGGGTGGCGGATACTGTGGCCACTTACCTGGGGGAAGCTGCCTGAGCCGCAGGCAGGAGGGTGCAGCGGGACCCTCACCCTACTCAGATCGTCCTCACACACCTTGGTGGGGAAAGTCTCTCCGCAGTGCCAGGGCTCCAGCAGGGCTCTAACACAGGGCCAGACGGTGCCACCCTCTCATCCTCAATCTGCCCAGCCCACTAGGAGCTGCTCCCACAGGGCCACAGACATGCCGGCCCCTGCTTGGGGAGGGAGGTCGAGGCGAAGGGGACTCATCAAGGCCCTCTCCAGGCTTAGAGGTGGACCTGACGGGCCGGCACCCCTAGGGTAGGGGGTGCCACAGCCGCTGACCGATGCTCTGGCTGCAGGCGTAGCCCCCAAAGACACACCAGAGCACACGGACAGTGCGGGCCACAGAGCGGCAGAGCCCAGGTCTTGTCAGGAAGAAACAGGTCAACGTGCCTCAGCTGAACTCAGGAAAGGCACCCAACTCACCAGCCACCTAATGGGAGAAGTGAGTTCCCTGTCCCTGGAGGTCACCAAGCAGCAGCTTTGAGGACAAAACTCAGAAGTCTCAAGTCCCAGCACATCCAATCTGTGTTCCCCCAGGGTACACAGGGCTGGGTGCGATCCAGCCTGGGCGTCCATACCCTCTGGCACTTTCTGCGCCTGGCAGGTTGGTCCAGAGGGACTCCAAGGCTGTGGGTCCTGATTTGGGCCACACAGCCTGGATGCCACATCCCAGGGGAGCTGAAGACACCCCCCAGTCTCTGCTGGAGCTCAGGTTTGAGGTTGGCCCAACACTGAGAGCAGAGTGGCCTTTCTCAATCAACTGCCCCTTGCTCCGCCCATGGGGGCCACGTCCAAATGAGGCCCCTCTTCAGCCCTTAGGGAAGAGACAGGGCGTCAAGGGCTGGGGCGGGCTTTCCATCCTAGCAAAGGGCACAGGGAGGCCGCTGGGCTCTCTGCGCAGCTGCAGTGGCACCTGGTGGCCTCGGCAGCTTCCAAGATGCATGGTTACACACTTACAGCAGTGCATCTTCATCTGGACCTCGCAGAACTGCCCTTGGGCTCCTGTACCGTGGAGTGATGGTGGTGGTGCTGCCAGGGTCGGGTGGCTAGGCCAGTGATGGCCTTTTCTGAGGGCCCAGGTTGGGTCCTCGGGAGGGTGGCTGGCCAGGCACTGCCCTGCACACGCGCTTGGGGGCTCCAGTACCTGAGGTGTTGCTGCCTGCGCTCAAACAGCCCTGGCCGGTGGCCCAAGTGCCACCTCCTCTACTTGACGGAGACCACCACAGAGCCACGCTGAGCAGGACTTAACCAGTTGGCTTTCCGTGTGTACTCATGAGTCTGCCCAAGGCCCAGGCCCACTGTCTGGAGGCGGGCAGTGGACTTTAGTAGGCGAGCTCTGTGAGCCACTGGTCCCCGCTGAAGCCTTAGTGGCTGGTGAAACCCTGAAACCTCAAAGGATAAGACGAGGTCACAGCCGAGGTTGTTCGGTTCCAGCCCCAACTAACTAAAATGAGATTATAGTTGCAGCCTCCATACCCCTAGAATAAAGGTCAACCTAGAGATAAAGTAGTTGTCCTGACTGGCATAAAGTACTACTTGGAAGAAGTACCTCCCAAGGTCCTGCTGGAGTTCTCAGATCCTTGCATTTTTTCCTGTATCACCCTGCTTTGCTTAGGAACCTAATGTGGACCACCCAGAGGAGTTGTGTTGGTCCCCAGAGAATCCGGAGTTCTGCTAAAGGATTCTGAACCTCCTAGAGCCCTGAATCCTATCACTGGACTCATTTAAGCCTGCACCATCCCCTCGTACAAGAGATCAGTCAGTAACTTAAGAGTATTACTAGCCCGCTACTTCTCCCCTTAGAGTTGATAAGCCCAGATGGGCACCAGCCATCTCCCTGCCTTGGGCCTCCATCCTGCCCCTGGACAGTCGCCCCATAGCTTTGCTGCCTCCTGAGCTGAGACCAACAGTTGATTGATCTTGATAACTCCTGCAGACAGTGGAGTAGAAAGCAGGTGCCGTCCTGTCCTCCACAGGTGGAGAGGTTCCGGGCAGCACCTAGCCAGACCAGGGCAGGAGGAGGTCCCAGAAGCTGAGAAGGGGGTCACATCTCCAGCCCTGGCTCCATGGGGTGCCAGGCAACTCAGGTGGCAGAGCTAGGTGGAGTCGTCCAGTCTTCAGGAGGTTGGCCAAGGCAGTCACCAGGTAGACAGCACTCGGCACCGCTAACGGCATTTGTTGCCCTTCCCTGCCAAGACACTGGGCAGAGCTCTGCCTCGGCATACTCCTGTGTGAGGTCACCAGGAGCAGGTGAACTCGTGCTGGGCAGGAAACCGACTGACAGGAGTGGCTGTCCCAAGGACGAAGGCCAAGGAAGTTTGCTACTGTGGAGTGAGGTGTGAGTACTGGGACGGTGTCATGATTTGGAGCTTTTGCAAGGTGAACACAATAGAGGACACATAAGATTGTTTTATAATGAATCACCAAAAGAATCAGACACAAGGAGTGCAGGAGATTGGGGCCCAGTGAGCCTCACCTTACTAGCATGGAGATGGGGGCCATTTCTCACCAGTCTGGCCCCACCTGACCAACACAGCTCCTTCCTAATAGGAAGACAGTGGCCTTGTCCCATGCAGGAGGGAGGGGGACAGCCAGACACGCACTCACGCACGCATGCGCACACACACACACACACCCAGCCAGGACCCCAGAGCAAGCTGAAACCAGGGCCTGGCTGGTTCCCAGCCCCCGTGCCACCCACTAGATCACAGGTCCAAACGCAGTGCACACAGGACATACCAGACCTAGATGCAAAGCACGATGGGGCCCAACACCTGGCTTCAGGATGTACACGAAGGCGTGTGCAGGTGGTACCAGGCTAGGCTCCTGTCACCAGAGTGGATACAAACACCAGCTCCCGAAGGTCCATCCCATCTAGGTGCAGGTGACCCCATGCCTCCTGCCCCCTTCTGTGGACACCTGAGCAGGTCTAGTTAGCAAGGGGTGCATGAGAGTAGGGTCACTTCTAGGATGTGCACCATACTGCTGTGACATGGGGGCTCTCATGGCCCTCTGGCTCTGGCCAGAATTGCTGCCCCAGGCATAGCCCAGCTCTCGCATGGAAGCCCTCAAGGGGCCGTGGCTAAATGGAGCCAATGGTACAGCCCCTGGCCCTGTGGGGACTGATGTTCTCATGCAGAAGCAGCCAGGCGTGCCTCCCGCCCACATCACGCAGGACAGAGCAGGTGGGTGCGCACCACCTCCACCTCGCATGAGGGACCTCGGACAAAGCCAGAACATGGGCCTCCCCCACCACACACACACCTCCTTGCTTCTGGGCTGGGAGGAAGCCTTGCTCTTTTAGCCCGTCAGTGTCCTGTGCACCAGCCACTGTAGTCTGAAGTCCCCTTTGGCCTGGAGGCTCTCTGGGAGGACAGCAGGGGCCTCTGCAGGTTCAGCCCAGGGTCTGTGACAGCACAGTGCACTGGTGAGAACAGCATATGCAAGACTGGGCTGTGTCACCGTGGCACAGCTGGGCCTGTCCTGAGGCTGGGGTGGCCCAGTGCCCACAGGTACTGAGCGCTGCGCTACCTGCCTGTAGCACCTTGCTCTTGGGCTGTGCAGCTGTTCTGGTCTGCATGTGGAAGGTCCCCAAAGAGCCCTGCCGCAGGCCTGGGGGGTGGGGTGACCAGAAGACTTGGGGACCTGAGGGATAGAGGTCTTGTCCCCTTCTGCTTCCTGGCCACAGGCGCAGCTGCACCCCCACACACGGCCCCATAGTCTTATGCCCCATGCACAGATCCTGGGCTGCAGCCTCAGAAACCAAGCCAAGATAAATCTTTTCACCTTAATTGGCTCAGGCATACTGATGGGAAGCTAATAATTATTTCAAAGTCAGTGCAACCAGGCAAGAGCGTTACATGCCCATCATCCAGGAACTCAGAGGCTGTAGCAGGACTGCCAAAGAGTTCAAGGTCAGCCTGGGCTACACAGCGAGACTCTGCCTCAAAAAAGAAGACAAAAAAACTCATTGTAAAAGTCGTAGCATAAATGGTGTGGTGGCACATACTCAGAATCACACACTTGGGCTTAAGGCCAGCTTGGGCTACACAGCGAGACCGTCTTGGGCTGGCTGTATGGCATGGTAGGAGCACAGGGATTGTTCAGCAGCAGCAGCAACAAAGGGCAGGTTGGCAGATGTGGGCCTTGGGACCACGGAGCATGCGCCCTACTGCCAGGAGGGATGCAAACAGCTCCTTTGAACGTTGTACATTTAACTTCTGAGTAACGGAAACAGTGGCCGACCCACACAGCACACAAAGTCCCTATCTTAGGGGGTGCCCCTCCCCAGCTGAGGGCTGGCGTGCTGCTTGGGCCAGCACAGGCTTCAATACTGCATCCCACTGCCAGCCACAGCCACCTTGGCAGGCAGGACTGGGCTGTCACCACAGCACAGCAAAAGCAGGGTTTCCTACCAGCAGCCTCTGAGTCACCAAGTGGCACAGTGCTCCTGCTATCTTCAGAGGAATGACTGAGACTGCGCCCCAAGCAGCACTAGTCCTGCTGAGCTCAGGTAAGGACAGAGGTGCCGAGTGGTCCTGGCTGCCTCCCGACGCTGACCAGGACACAGCCGTGCAAGTCACCCAAGGCTGGACGCCCCCGAGAGGTGACAAAGCGGACTGGCAGGCCCAGCCCTACCTGGAGCGGTGCTCAAGAACAGATGTGACAGTCCCCTTCCTGCATCTGGAGCAGGCCAATCCTGCAGCTTTCAGGTTAGATTTCTGAGTATCACATTCCTGGCTTGGACCAAGCCAGCCACCTGCTGCCCCTGGGCAGAACCACAGCCCCAACACTGCTCCTGGAGCCTTCCCTGGGGTGACTGAGAACAGGACTGAGGACCAGGTGTGGATAAAGGCTGAGCCCACCTCCAGGTGATGGCACTAACCCTGTTGCACAGGGTGAGGTGGTCCCCACAGTGGGCATGATCTTGTTGCTTCCCCAGCCCGACCACCTCCCCAGGCCATTGCTGAGCCCACTCAGAGTGCCCAGGATGAGTCTGCAGTCTCCAAGCTGTGACATCACCCCCCGGGGTCCAGCCTAGTCCTCGTGGGAGCCACAAGGCGTCACATGTGAACCGTCTCAGGAGCCCCCAGTGGCCCAGGCAGGATCTAGGATGAGAAGGTCTAGGCGGTCAAGGCGACCCCAGATGGCACCAGCTGCTCGACTGGGCTCCTCCACTTTTGCCTATGACTGCAGAAGCACCCACTGAGCAACCTCAAGAGCGGACAGCACTTGTTCCTGCTGTGTAACATCGTAGGGCAGATTTAAGACAGAATCCCCCACGGCTCTCAGCAGGGCCGGGTCCCACAAGAGGACATGTCAGCTGCCGTTAAGGCAAGGATCACCAAGCACCAGCCCCTGCAGGACTGCTGGCCACTACTGCATGACTGCTTTTTTCCACCGGGTGCTACTTGCACCCCAGGCTGGGGAGTGCACCAGCACTGCTCCTTCCGGGCTTGTGGGATCTCGAGGCAGTCCTCCTGGGGCTGCAGACAGGGAGTCTGGTGCAGCAAGGGCGACTCACAGGGGGCCATGAGGGCCACACCCCTCTGCCATCCAGCACTACAGAGCTTCCTGTCAACACGCCTGTATGACGCAGGGCTGATCCCAAGGTAAGTTTGAAGTTCTCCACCATGCAGTGCTGCCTCCTGCGTGGCTTATGCTTACAAACATGGACTGGACACTGTGCCACCCTGGCTGAAGCCAAAGGCTGACCTGCGTGCAGTCCTTGACCAGGACCAGGTGGCCCTCCATGGCCACAGGGGCACTTTGCTGAGGCCCAGGGCCCAACTTGAGAGGAAAGGCTTGGGAGGGGCAGCCTCTCTTGACCCAGACAGACATCCGCTGTGGGATACAGCCGAGATGGGGAAACAGGGGCTGCAGGCATGGGCTCCGGTGAGGTCAGCGTGGACTGTCGGGCTGAGTGATGAGCCCTGCTCCACTCCTTGCATACCCTTGAGGACTGCAGGCCCTCACTGTTTTGATTTTTTAGAAATGCACTGTGTCTGGCCTACTTTTACTTAATAAAGGGAAAAACTGTTTGCATAGCACCCCTGGGCCTGACACTGAGCAGCTTCAGGTAGGAAGCTCCTTCACTTCCAGAGATGACACAGCCAGCAGCTCGGGAGGAAAACAACTCCTTCAGGAGCCAGCCCTCCCCAGGGGCCCATGCGGTGGATGGGCGTTATGCTGGGACCAAGTCAGGCTAAGCTGGGTCAGGGCGGGGCAGGGGAGGCTGCACTGGCATACTTGGCTGCTACGGTCCGTTGTGTAATGTGCATGGGATGACGAGGTTGCTGCTGGCAGTGTGCACGTCTCCAGCCAGATCCACGGCCAGCTATCACCCCTGCCGTTTAACAGCCCCCACGGGCCGCGCAGGAGGACCAGGCCAACCTTCTCCTTTCTGCCTGTGCCCCAGCTGCTCCTGTGCCTTACTTGGAAGGAAAGGCTCTTCCATCACCGGCTGTCGCCAGGGTGTGTGTGCTTTCCAGGTGTCTCGGCCGCATGGTCTGCCTAACAGGCACAGCCTTCTGCCTGCAGGTAAGGCCTTCCTGCTCAGCGTTACCACGCAGGCAGTCTTGTCAGGCACAGCACAGGCCAAGACCAAGACCAAAGCTCGTTCAGGTACCCCACATGCATAACCATGTGCGGGGGGCGCTGAGAGCCTTGTAGTTTCATCTCGCTTTTTGCATCCATCTGCCTCCAGCTGCAGACACATACCAGAGGAAACTGAGGCCCAGGCCAGCCAACTGGCCGTGCTCCTGCCAGCACACTGCGCTGCCTCTCCACTTCTGGAGCAGTGCTGGCTCACGAGTGCACTCTGGGGCCCTGGGACAGAGGCCACGTCTCAGAGGGACTGACTCCACCATCACTCCTCTACACACAGCAGTCTGCCAGGTTTCCAGCACGAAGTTATAAGCTCTGGGGAGTCGGAGCCGCATTCACTTCCAGGCTTTTGACCTTGGGCAGGCTTAAGGTCACAAGCAGGGAGAGCCAAGGCTTTCAGGAGACAAACAGAGGCCAGTGGTCCACTCCTACCCCTCCTTAGCAGAGACCAGAACGCCTACAGTGCAACTCGTGCCCACACTCCTACCTCGCATGGGGACACTCCCAGCCACTGGGTAGCCGCCCATCCTCCTGCAGCCAATGACGTGCAGCTCCTCAGGGCCCAGTGCTGACCACCGGGCTGACTTCAAGCTAACACACCGCCTGTGAGGCACCATTAGTCAACCACAGCCACCATGAAGACTGCAGAGATGGAGATCTATGTCCTGGTGCCACATAGGAGGGAAAGCTACACTGCAGCCACACCAACCTCCATGAACATAAGGCCACAGGTGATACAAGAGCACACTGAGTAAAAGTAACTGTAGGAGTCAGGACACCAGCAATGTCCTTGTCCTTTACTGTTCAGCTCTCCTTCAGTTACCAAAGGCACGTGTTAAAGGATGTATGACATGGGTACTGTTTGCGAGCCATGTACCCGCACTGCCCTGCATGCCGGCCTTGCCCCTGAGCAGTCCTGGGGGCCCAGGTCAGCTTCCCTGACTGTTAAGGATGCAGCAAGCTGGAAGGGACCCAGAGGAAGGGGGTGCAGGTAGGAAGCGCTCTCTGCAGGGCGGCGGAGCCTGTCCCTTCCCTGGGCATGCAGGGATACGGCCACAGTGCCCTCTTGTGGCAGGCCTGTGCCACAGCAGCCAGCCGAACTGCACAGCGACACCAGGGAGCAGGGACAGCGGTGATCCATCCTCGGAGCTGGGTCCCCCACTTGAGAAGCAAGGAGCGAGCAGAGTGCCTAAGGAGAAGCAGGAAGCTGGGCTGGGTCACGAGAGATCAGCTCAGCGCAGCTCTTCAAAGAGATACTCCAGGTCTGGGGCACGCAGTCGCTGCTCCCTGTTTTTGTTCTTGGCAAAGTCTCTCAGCAGGGCCAGGACTTCATTTTCAAGTATCTCTGGGGCTGGCTTGGTGTCTGCAAGAGAAGAGTGAAGAGAGGGTGCACCCCGTGGGTCACGGCTCGGGTATGAGAACCAGAAAACTGCACTGGCCTTGCTGAGAACCGCAGTGCCAACAAGGCCACCCGCCTGCCTCTCGACCTGGCTGGGCCCGCCCACCTACAGAAGACGCTGCTGGCACAGTGCCACCTCCTGTTCAAACAGCCCAGGACCACCCAAACACGGCCGGGACACACTATACTGGCACCTGCCCCGGCCGCTTGGGAGCCACCTCCCTTCTCAGGCGGGCGCAAGCCAGGTTGTGTTCTCCTAACCCTAGCTTATGTCATACCACAGAGCATGAAGGTCACGAGGCCGAGGAGCCAAAGGGCACAGACACGGAAGGCAGATGGACTCTGGGACTGCGGGCATGGCTGCTGGACGCGGTGGCAGCACCCGTGGCTCCCGCCATCCAGGGCTGGGCGCCCACAGGTGCTGGGGTGCACTGTGCTTCCCTTCCGACCCACACGCGTGCCCGAGCAAGAGCCCTGCTTTCTCTAGCAGTCAGAGACCTTGGGTTAAGTGAGCCAGTCAACAAGCAGCAGGAGGGGCGCGCCAGCAGGGAGGGAGCAGGTCACCTGCCCCTCAAGGTGCACAGGGGAGCAAGTGGACAGAGGAAGGCAGAAAAAGTGCCACCTCCTGTCCCCTGGGGGCCGGGTACTGGGCAGCCTCAGTCCAAGGTTGGGGCCCAGGGCCCTGGAGGCCTGAGTCAGGGAGCTCCTTCCGCAGCACATAGACCAGCACAGACAGCCCCGGGGCAGGAAGGCAAGCGGGGAGGGAGACCAGGAGCACCCAGCACCACCATCTGACCAAAGCCTCAACCTGGAGCGCAGGAGCAGCCAGGCCATCCTGAGGGTAACCAAGGCAAAGTCAAAATGCATACTATCCTCACCACTCACCCCACGGCAGTGGGTGCCCAGAGTAACAGCCTAGGACAGCAGTGGCAAGTCTCCAGCACATGCGCCACAGCCACTGCTCATTGTCTCTGAAGGCCCTGGAAGGCTCGCCACCACTGGCCTCGGGAGAAGCGCGCCACCTCAAGGCACCAGCACAACAGGCTCAGCGTGTGTCACCCCTCAGCAGAAGGGCGACACTCAGCAGACTGCGGAGCTGCACGCGAGCACAGAGGAAGGGGGTGGCAGGGGAGCTAGGCAGAGCAGAGCAGCACATGCAGGGGGACTCAGGTGCGTGAACGCAAGCGGCCGGAGCGTGGGAAGCGCAGCACCTGCCAGAAACGCAGAAAGCGGAGCAGGCATGTGAGCAATAAAAACCCAGCAGCAGCACTGCAGGGCAAGCCCGTGGGGTCTGTGGGTGGGGTCCGCACAAGACGGGGCAAGAGGCCCCGCCCAGTACAACTGCCAAAGGCCATGCAAAGACAAGACACAGGACTTGGCAAACTATTAGTCCTGAGAGGGCCATGTCAACAGGGCCAAAAGGGCCAAGTGGGAGACACTGAGCTGACAGGCCCAGCACCCAAAGACTGACCCACACCATCTGGAGCTCCTGGAGGTGAGGCCTGTGCGGCTGGGGCTGCCTGGGGTGTGTCTGTGTCCTGCACTCACCATGTGCTGCCTAGACAGCACTGGTGTCTCGTCAAGGACTGGGACCCCCAAAATTATAAGCCACATAGGCCTTTTTTTATTGATTGGGACTGGGCAGCGAAATCATGACCTTGAGCTTGCCAGGCAGGCGCTGTGCTGCTGAGCTGTGCCCCTGGCCCTACACAGGCCTTGTCTAAGCCAGCTGACTTGTACCTGTAGCCCCAGCTACTCCCGAGGCTGAGGCAGGAGGGCCACAAGGAGCGAGCAGAGTGCCTAAGGAGAAGCAGGAACTCAGGGCCAGTCTGGGCAATGCAGCAAGAGCCTGGCTCATAATTTTTTTGAAAAGCCCTTTTCTCTTTACAAGTCAACTAAGTACAGCATCTGGCAACCAGAGGAACATACTGACGGACACAGAAAGCGGAAACTGTACGGGCTGGCTGAGCCAGACGACACCCAGACACGTGAGTGCGGGCCACCTGCACACGCACGCGGGCAAGGAAGACGCCCACACCACAGGGCCTAAAATCAGCCCCAGAAAATCCTGGGGCATTCCCCAGCACCCAAAACCTAAGCAATATACTTCTGAACAATGCTCAAGCCAAAAAGAAAGAGAAAAGAAAATCAGAAAATATTTCCCTTTTAAGGAAACAATATAATGCACCAAAATTTCTAACATGAAGTTAGTGGTGCTTCAAGGGAAATGTATGACATTAAACAGCACAGAAAAAGTAGTCACCAATAAACTAAATTCTACCTTAAGAAATTAGAAAATAGAGGCTGGAAAGATAGCTCAGCAGCGTAAGTGCCTGCCTGGCAAGCGCAAAGTCCTCAGTTCGATCCTAGTACTGTAAAAACAAATAAATGAAATTAGAAAATTAGCCCAAAGTCAGCAAAGGAAATAATGAAGAGCATAAATCAACAACTCAATGGCTTGAAAAGAGAAAATCAGAGAATAATGAAATAAAAAAACTGGTTCATTGGAAAAATAAAAGAGCCAGGCATGGTGGTGCTTAACTGTAACCCAGCACTCAGGAGGCTGAGGCAGGAGGATCTTTGTAAATCTGAGACCAGCCTGGGTTACAAAGCGAGCTCTAGGCCAACCTGAACTACACAGTGAGATCTTATCTCAAAGAAAAAGAGAAGATGGCAACTTTTTTTTTTTTTGGCGGAACCAGGAATTGAACTCAGACCCTTGTATTTGCCAGGGAAGTGCTTATTTTACTGAGCCATCTCCCCACCCCAACTTTTTTTTTTTTTTTTGGTAAGATAGCATCTTCTGACCAGACTGTTCAAGGAAAAGGGGGAAACCCTCAAATTACCAATAACTGAAATAGAGCCAGGGAGACAGTTCAGCAGCATAAGTGCCTGCCTAGAAAGCACCAGGTCCTGAATTCAATCCCTGGTGCATCCTGCCCAATCACAAAACCCACAAAACAGGGCCGGCCAGATAGCTCAGTGGATTAAAGTGCCTGCTTAATCACGAGAGCCGGATCCCTGGCATGCCCTGTAGGCCCTATTCCCAGGATGCACTGAGACAGTGATTGAGACTGGACGTGGTGGCCTATAAATCCCAGCACTTGAGAGGCTGAAAACAGAAGGATCACTACGAGTCCAATCTACATAGTGAGACCCTGTAGACCCTGTGCTAAGTATATTAAAACATAAAAATAAAAATAAAAAAATTGAAACAGCTGGGGAGATGGCTCAGTAGAATAAGCGCTTCCCTGGCAAGCACAAGGACCTGAGTTCAATCCCCGGTTCTGAAAAAAAAAAAAAAAAAAAAAAAAAAAAATTGAAAGTCTCTCAAATATTAATGAAAAAAGAAGTACTACAAGAGCCCAGTGGTGGGGTGGCTGTTACGCGTGAGCAGAGCTGGTCATCTATACCAACCAGCTGTGGGAGTTACAGAAACTTCCAAGTCAGGGGTGGCAAGTGGAGACTGCTGGCTGGCAGGATGCCTACGGGTGCAATTCAAAAATGTCTCTCAACCTTAACTATTTCATTGTCCCCTGGCTTCTCTTCAACCTTTGACCTGTGAACTTCACCTACCCTTCCACTAAAACTGCTTTTTACTTAAGCTAGGTAAAGTCAGCTTCTATTCTGTCTCATAAATAAAGAACCTTAACCTCAAAACATTAGAGAACCTTAACGTGTAAACAAATGTTGCCCATTTTGGTAAAATTTGAACAGTGTTGGGGTTGAATGTCTATTATACGAATAAAAGAACAAAACTGCCTACAATCTAATTTCCAGTGCAGCTCAGCCAGTGTCACCCTATTTTTGCAGTGTGCTGCTTTTCACAGCCGTACCTGTGGCCCAGTAGTAAATATCCCAGTCATTACTGGGCTCGTTAATGAGGCGATCATAAAGGTTCAGCTGCTTCTCTGTCATTCGGTGCAGATGTTCTTTAGCAAAGAGGCTAAAAACAAGAAAAAGGAAGAAGTTGAAATGACTGTCTCCAGTGTAAAGGAAGAACCCCGGTTCCTCCGCACGGACCTCAGCAGGATGCAGTTCTCCAACATCCCCCTCTTCCTGCTCTCGTAGAGTAGACGCGCTCGCTTGGTTTCTACGGATTCGTCCGTTCTCTCCTGCCACGGAGGCAAGGGGATTTCAAGCACATCTTTCTGAGAGTCTGCTGGACTGTCACTCCCGCAGAAGCATCTGAAGGGTGCCACACTGCATGATGGAGACAGGAGGCTGTGCCTTGACAGCACCTGAAATAGACAAGCCACAGACATCTCTATAGTAACAATGGCCACCCCCGCCACGCTCATCCACGCTGGAGGCACTGACCCTCCTGCCCCTTACTAAGTTTTAGGAGTTTACACCGACACAGTTCCTTCTTTCAGCCCAGGAATCCAGGAAGTCAAGGCTCAGAAAGGACAGAGACAACCGAACAGAGCTGCAAAATACGTTCCTACCCAGACTTGTCCCAGCAGGAATACCTTCTCCTGTCCTTACTTTGCTGGCGAAGTCCTACAGCATGGTCTATACTCCAGCCACATGTTTGAGCGACCCCTTGGGTTCCAGGGGCATGCTCCCTCCTCTCCCGATCCAGAAGGCCCAAACTATTGAGATCTGACAGGAAGAGGGATGAGCATGCAGCAGGACGCAGACTCCACACGGACACCAAGCTGACTCCTGTGGTCCCAAAGCACTCGGTGACTGCCGACACACCCGGTACATGCCAGGGCACCGAGGCGGAGATCAGCATCCACCCCAACTCCCATGACAGGGAGACCCCAGCTCCCAGTTTCTGCGTTGCTTAAGTGCTACCAAAAGGTAACTACCTGTAAGGATAACAGGAACGCTCTTGCCAGAGTCCCCAGCCCTGGCTTAGGTTTCTGTCCCTCCTGCCTTAATGGCACCGACAGCCCACCCTCTAGGCCCAGGGGCCACTGAAGACAACAGCCAGCCAGACAGCTTGCTGCAGAGCCAAGGGAACACGAACAGCAGGGAGAGGCCAAGGAGTGCAGCTGGCAGGAGGAGGACCCCAAGAGCGTGCAACACTCGCTCTGTGGGGGGACTCCTGAGCTCCAGCTGACCTGGCCTTCGCTAGGGGCCAGAGAAGAGCTGGGCTGTCTGCTCCTGAGAAACCCCATCGTGCACAGACACCAGAGCGAGCAGGAGCTGACAAGCTCTCCAAAAAGAAACCCTCTAGGCAGAGGTCCAAGGGAGGCTAGGGGAAAGGGGAAAATAAGAAAAAAACCCTGTTATATCATGTATGAGTACAAATTCTCTATGATGAACATGATTGTTATGTGTATCTAAAATGTACCAATGGTATCTAATTAAAAAAAAAAAAACAAAAAAAACCTCTCCAGACCCACCTAACAGAGCCCCTGACAGATGAATGGAATAGCTGTCCTCACAGGGAGCCAGTCCACAAAGCCAAGTGACTTGCTTTTTCATATGCAGATTTCATTTTTTGGTTTTACTTTGTTATTTTGCTTTATTTTTTGAGACAGGGTCCCACTATAGAGGCCAGACTGGCTTCGAACTCAGAGCAATCTTTCTGCCTCCGCCTCCTGAGTGCTGGTGTTACTACCATGTGCCACCACAAAGGGCCCCATGCAGAGATTTCAACACAAATCTGCAACACAAACTTTTGAGTATAAACTTGTGCTCAGATAACCAGGAAAACATGGTCAACCAAGGACCCAAATGGATCTCCAGTAACCAACCCTGAAGTCACAGAGGTATGTGAACCACCTAATGAAAATGTAAAATAACAGTGGACCCTTTACTTACGAACAAAGGCTGATTGTAACTCTCAAGCTGGTTGGTAAGTCAAGATATTTTCCCTTATGAAATAACTGAAAAACCCATCATGTGTCCTGAACCTCCCAAAGCAGTCCTTAACTAACCTTCTCTTACTAAAATAAGGGTTGTATGCTGTGCATCATTTATCTGAAACACCAATAATTTTCCTAATACATTTGCCAAAAAGTCATATAAAATATGGCTGACACCAGAAACATTTCACACTGTACTCACCGTTCAACTTGACATCTTGGGCTTGCGGGAAGGGAGATGCAATGAAAGGTGGCTACTGTTGGAAGGAGAGGCCCTTTCCAGAGTACAGCAGGAACCTGGCTCTCTGCTGTCCTTTCTCTCCTTGGGAGAGGCTGCAGCCCAGGAGGACCTGCTCGTGGCTCACGAGGTCTCAGCTTTTTCAAAACTAAAAACTGGTCTAAGGTTGCCTGTTTCTCACTTTTCTTTAACACAGTTCTGTAGTGTGACATGACCCTGTCATTAAGCAATGGATGGAACGATTGGCTTCTTCTCTGTCTGAGTGGGATTCCTCTACAAATGTTTGTAGCCGTGTCCATTTTTTTTCAAAATTTCCGTTATTTGAGAACTTATTTTTGTGGAACCGGGGATTGAACTCAGGCCCTTGTGCTTGCCAGGGAAGCGCTTATTCCACTGAGCCGTCTCCCCGGCCCATCCCCCTCCTCTTTAGAAAGGCCCTCAGCTATTGCTCTCTGAGCTCAGCCAGAAGCTGCTGAGGTTCCTCCTGCACACGATTCCTGAGTGTTCCCGTACCAGTTCCTCAACGTCACCCCTGTCCACCTGCAGGCCTACGGGCTCTGCTATAGCGGCAGTGTCACCAACCACAGGGTCCACTGAAGGCGCAGGTTTCTCTGCACAGCCTTCAAAGCCTCTCTCCTGTTTAAGTTCAGGTCACACTTTCTTCCAGGCAGATATCAGTGTCCTAAGATTTCTCAATTAACCCCACAAAGGAAAGGATGTTGTAATATTCCTTCCAGAACTCTTTAAGGGTTAGTGTATCTTTTTTTTTTAATTTTTTATTTGTGTGTGTGTGTGTGTGTGTGTGGCCAGCTCAGCCCACCAGGGGGCGGGGCGGGCTGGCATGTGGTGCTGGAGGATTGAACCGCGGTCCCTGTGCTTTGCTAAGCTTGTTCTAAGTAGGTGCTTTAGACCACTGAGCCATCTCACCAGCCCCTAGATGTATATCTGAGACCATCCGGAAGCACTTCAGGAGCAGTTCCTTGGTGCACCGCTTTTTAAAGTTAGTTACAAACTGCTGGCCCATAGGCTACAATAGAGGAGTTGTATTAGGTGGGAGAAGCTGGACTGAGAGCCACAGGAATTCTTCAGCCAAGCCCTCTTCCCAGTCTTGTCCGTGAGCAGGAGCACTGTCCATGATGACAGCCTTGAGCAGTAAACCTCTGTCCTCTAGATATTTCTTAGCAGTGGGACAGAAAGCCTCCCTGAGCCACTCAAGAAAAAGTACTCTTGTTACCTGGGCTTTGCATTGGATCTCCACATGACGCCTAGCCTATTCTTTATGATTTTGTTTTATCAACGCTCTAAAGATCTCAGAGTGATAACCAGAGGCTTGATCGTGTGGTCACCACTCACTCGCACTGCACACAGCAGTAAGGTTAGCATGTCCTCCACAGGCTTGAGGCCTGGCACTTGCTTCCCTTCCTGGGTAATGTGTGTTCTCCTAGACATTTTCTTCCCGAAAAGGTCAGTTTCATCACAGTTAAAAACTTGCTGAAAGCAAAAGCCATTTCTCTGTGTCGTCATTTCAAAGTGCTGCATGTAATTTTCAGCAGCCCTTTTATAAGCATTGGCTATTTCACCGTGTCTAGTTGTTCTATGAACCCTAGTTCTCATTTTAAAATTGTGAAACTACTGCTTACTGGCATGAAATGTTTCACCGTATCACTCACTGATGGACTATCCTTAAACGATCTACATTGTTAGCCCTAGCTTCTCACAAATCATAGACTCAGGCAGGCAATAAATGGCCATCTGCCTTTTGTTTATCCATACCAATAATATGGATGTCCTTCTGCCTTATCTAACACCGTTAACTGCGATTTACTCATCTCAGTAACACTTTGTCACACTAGCTTCCTTACGCAAATCCTTTCTCCAGACTACAGATGGTGAATTTTAAAAATTTATTTACTTATTCATTTTTTTGATACAGAGTCTTGCTATGCAGTTCAGACTCTTGGACTCATAGTAATCTCCTGTCTCAGCCTCCCCAGTGCTAGGATGCCAGGATTATAGGCATGTGCCACCGTGCCCAGTTTCAGGGCCTGCACAGCATATTGTACCAGGGATTGAACCTGGGTCCTTGCACTTGCCAGGCAGGCAGTTATATCGACAGCTGAGCTATCTCCCCAGCCCCACGTGACTTTTTTTTCTTTTTTGTGGAACTGGGGCTTGAACTCAGGCCCTTATGCTTGCCAGGGAAGCACTTATTCCACTGAGCCATCTTCCTGGCCCCCCACAGTGAATTTTGACATGTTATATTAGCAAGATTGGTCACATGAAAACTACTCTCTTATTTCTCCACAGTTTCCTTTTTTTCCAACGGTGATTGTTTTCTTTAATTTCCCTTCCTTTTGTTTCTTTTCTAGCCTTCTGGTGACCATTTTTATAGTGGTATTGTAGCCATGATATAAAGCACTGATTGAAATCACACTCACATGGTCCTATGAGATAGCTCAGCAGACTAAGTGCCTGCTTAGGCAAGTGCAGGGACTAGGGTTTAATCCCAGGAACCATATGCTGGTCTAGCCCCACCCTGGGCTCATTGAGTGGGCCACAGAGACCACACATGGTGGTGCATGCCTGTAATTGAGACCCTGTATCAAATACATTAAGAAAGAAAGAAAGAAAGAAAGAAAGAAAGAAAGAAAGAAGAGATCATGTTCACAGAAATATGCATCTGGGCTTATGTACACTTTTCTGGCCCAGGGAATTTTTATTTACAGCTGCACAAGGAGCTGGCATACTGAAGATTTTTATTCTAAGTTAAACAAATTTCAGTCACATTCCAAGTTGTATGTGAGGCGTTTCCTAACTCAGGGGTCCACTGTAAACACTCAAAGGTGCTCAACAACCTCAGGAAAATGATGCTTAAGTAAAATGAGAATATCAGCAAAGAGAAAAAAAATACAAAAAAGTGAACAGAAAATTTGGAGCTTAAGAACACGGTAACTTCCAAAAATCTTCATTTGAGGCATTTAAGAGCTGACTTCATGACACACAAGAACAACAAATTCAAACACAGGTCACTTGAAAGTACCCAAGCAGAGGAGCAGAATCAAAAATAAAAGAGATTCTTAGGACACCACCAAGAAGACACATGAACTGTTTTGGGAGTCCCAGAGGACACGGGCAAGGGCAGAAATCTTAGTTAAGAAATAATGTCAAAAAACTTCCTGGATTTGGTCAATGAGATGGACACCCACAATGAAGAAGCCCTAAAGAGGGTACTTGCCTCAGCACAAGGTCCTGAGTTTGATTTTGAGTACCAAGCAAGAAAAAGAAAAAGCCCAAGGGAGCTCAGCCAGCATGAAGGCAAAACACACCTGCGTGTGCTCTAATTAAACTGTCAAGGTCAGAAAGAGACATCAGAGGGCTGGAGAGCGCAGAGGGCGGGGGAGCACGAGAACGTGAACACTCAGAGAGAGACCTTGTGCGGCCATCACCAGGTGGTGGTGTGCAAGCCAAGAACAGAGAACAAGCCTGGGAGAACCCAAACCTCGGATGCCTCCAGAGGGCTGCAGCCTCCACAACTGTGAGAAACGCATTTCTGTTGTTTAAGCCATACCATGGCATTCTGTATGGCAGCCCAAGCTAGAGAATGGAATGAAACATGTAATTAACCCAAAAGTTGGTTTCCTGAGAACCACTCTAAACACTCTGGTGCAGAACCTCTAGGATTGGCCCCAGGAAAACATTTTTAACAAGACCACCACAGAATTTTGTATTGCTGAAAAAAAGTGAAGACCCTGGGCTCAAACCGCAGTACCAGCTGGGTGTGGGGGGCTCAGGCCTGTGACCTCAACACTCAGGAGACTGAGGCAGGAGGATCACTACAAGTCTGAGCTGCGTAGTGAGACTCTGTACCAAATAAAAAGGATTTTAAAAAAAGTTTTTTATATGCAATTGACAGCTAAACTGTCAAATCTGTAAATCCTATGGTAACCACAAAGAAATATCTGTAGAAAATGACAGTGGAAAACTAATCAAACCATGTCACTGGGGAAAAAAAAAAGGATACAAAATAGAAATGGGGGAAAAAACCATAAAACAATGAACAAAATAATAGTAACTCCTTCCCTATGAGCAAATAAATATAGATGGATTAAACCATCCAATCAAAAACCAGAATAAATGGATTTCATAAAGCAAAATACAAGCCAAGCATGGTGGTGTACACTGGTATTTCCAGCATTAGGGAGGCTGAGGCAGGAGGATTGTTGAGTTCACGACCAGCCTGCGCTACAAACTGAGCTCAAGGCCAGCCTGAGCTGCAGAGTGACACACAGTCTAAAAGGACGGACACACACACACACACACACGGCAAACCAAAATTAAGCTCCTACTATCACAACTCACTTTTACACACACACAGAGGTTGAAAGTGAAAGGACAGAAAATAATCCGCCACATAAATGATATCCAAAAAAACAAAGGGATAGCAGACAAAACCATCTTTAAATTAAATTTAATTCAAGATTACCGCACCAGAAAATTACATAACAAGAGGATTAATTCACCAGGACATCACAATTGCAAATACATATGCTCCTAACATTAAAGCATCTACGTATATGAAGCACACATTAACCGAATGGAGGAACGAAAACAGCAACAGATCATTTAGGTTTCAAACCCCCCAGCTTCAACGATGGTTAAAATACTGACAGCGGGCCAACAAGGAAACAGGACATGAACGACACTGCGGACCGAAGCGTCGCAGCGAACAGAAGGTCACAGCGTCCGCCCAGGTTACAAATTCTTCTCAGGTGCACGCAGAACGCTCCGCAGGGCAGATCACAAACTCAATCTCAAATTTAAGCCGACTAATCCTAGCGAGTGTCTTTCCAACCACACTGAAATCAACAGCATAAAGAAAACTGGAAAATTCACAAATCCGTGGAAATTACACACGCTCTTGAACAACCCAAAATGTCAAAAGATCAAAAGATAAAAGCTACCTTGGGACAAACTAAAACCCAACGTAAACTTTGACGAGACAGAACCAAAAAAGCGCCGAAAGAGAAGTTTACAGTGATAAATGCCTATAATTTAAAAAGAATAAAGGCTCAAAACCCTACGTGACCGCACGACAGGCTCGGGAGCCCCCAGAACAGGGAGGAGAAAGGGCGCTCGGGCTGGCCGCCGGGTCTCGCCCGCGGCTGGCCTCAGCCCGACGACACCGAGCGACCTCGCCTTGGGACAGACCCCGGGGCAGAGGGGACCCCAGCCCGGCGCCGTCCGCCCTAGGCCCAGACTCTGCCCGCTTACCCGCGCCAGCGCCCGCAGCACGGAGACCACCGCCATTTCACCGCCGCAGAGGAAGCCCGCGCGCCCGTCACTTCCGGTGCTCGCGAGGAGGCGGAGCCCCGCCTGAGCCGGAAGAAGCTTCTGTGCGCGTCTGCGTGCGGCGGAAGTGGCCGTGCGCGTGACGCCACCGGCAGGGGGCGGGGCCTGGCGGAGAGCGGTTCGCGCGCTTCGGGCCTAGTCCGGACTCGCAGCCGCCGCCGCCATATTCCCGGTAACGGGGGCGCGCGGCCGGGGACGGCGGGGCCGGAAGAAGGGTCGGGGCCGGCGCCGAGGCGGGGAGGGGG